AGAGGGATGTGGACAGCATAGAGAGGGTCCAGAGGAGGGCCACTCGCATGATCAGGGGACAGCAGGGCAGGCCCTACGAGGAGAGGCTACGGGACCTGAATCTGTTCAGCCTCCAAAAGAGAAGGCTGAGGGGGGATCTAGTGGTCTGTTATAAACTAGTCAGGGGGGATCAGCAGGCATTGGAGGAGTCACTGTTCCCCCAAGCATTGCCAGGAGTGACCAGGAATAATGGTCAGAAGCTGGCAGAGGGTAGGTTTAGGTTAGATATCAGGAGGTGCTACTTCACAGTCAGGGCAGCTAGGGTCTGGAACCAACTTCCAAGGGAGGTGGTGCAGGCTCCTACCCTGGGGGGTTTTAAGAGGAGGTTAGATGAACACCTTGCTGGGGTCGTTTGACCCCAGTACTCTTTCCTGCCATGGCAGGGGGTCGGACTAGATGATCTGCTCAGGTCCCTTCTGACCCTAGAAACTATGAAACTATCTCAGCCCTCAGACTAAGGTACAAACAGCCGCAAGGATGAGGATCCATCCATGCACTTTTTAGCAAAGTGTGCTTCAGGGACTCAAGCAAGGTTGAAGAGGCTGCCTAATTGGTGGAATAGGATCTGGTCCTAGATGTCTTTCTGTTGGGCTTCCTACAGGAATAGCCAAGGAAAATCCTGTGCTTGTGTTAGCCATGTGGTCAGAACGCATGGCAACCATAGTGCCCTCTGGTCATAACAACCCATGGATCTATACATGCAGCAATTCAATCCTCCCTGGTATTTAACTGTAGCCCTCTAGCAGCAAATTGTGCATTCTATTAAGAAATCAACAAATGAGCAACAAAACCAATTGCCCAAACAGATTCACATTTCCCATTAGGCATGCATGTCAAAACCTGGAAAAGCATGCCAAAGGGAAGCAGTACCAACGTAAGAACCAAATGAAAAACAACACATTCTCCTGCACTTAGCTCTGCATAAGAAAGGTGAAGTCCCACACTCCTCTCCCAAATGCATCCAGGGGACTGATTCTCATGCCTGGCAGAGCTCCGCTGAGTCCTGATGGCCCCCCTGATATGGTGTGAGGCCCCCCTGCTCCCAACCCTAGGCTGCAACTGGGTCCTCATTCTACTCATTGGTCCTGCCTGGAGCGTGTGATCTCCTCATGGCATTAAAAACACCACTGACACCAGGGAGCTGGAAGGCGTAACTAAGGATTTGCTCCTTCAGTTTATCATCAAGAGCCCCAGAGGTGAGTGTGGGGCATCTGGGGAGATGGGTGCGGAGAGGGGAATAAAATTCAGGCCGAGCTGTAACAATTTATCACCATCCCAGAGACGATACGGTACAGCAGGCAGACAGGCGCGCACACTCCCCCGTCCTCCTGATTACGTTATTATATTACACCTGACATTCCTTTCTTCCACTAATATGTTATTTTTGGCTTGACAGCTTTATGAGGGAGAAAAGAGAAATCGAGAGAGAGAGAGAGAGAGAAAGAGAGAGAGAGGGAAGAAGAGGGAGATGCACACCCAGACAGACACAGACAGTATTCATTCCTTATCAGCAAAGAATGGCTCTGAGTCAGGCAAGAGATAGATCTGCTGATTGAAATGCCTCGCTGGTGCTGACAGCTCACTCCTTACCACCTAACTGGATATCCCTCTCCTTTGGGAAGGCAGAGTTAGCTCTGTAGTGTCCCCCAAGAAATTCATTGCGGCTTAAGCAGAAAAGCAGGAGCTCCACCCATGATCTGTCCAGCATCTTGCATTAGAGATAAAGGCTAGCTGAATCTGGGTAGCAGAGAGCTGGATGCATTCTCCAAGTCTGTCCTGCACCCTTCAGACAGCACTCTAGGAGTATGACCATCTTGATGATGGCAGTATACACATTAGGTGCTCTGAAGTGACTCTGCAGACAGTCCCACAATGCCCAACAGGGTGAGAGAACAGTCAATGCGAGGCCTAGGCAGCAGCATCAAGTCCAACTCTTCCCTGGCAACTCTCAACTCCATTGGGGCCTGATGAGACTGCACTTCTCTCCCAGGGTGAGAAGTCTCCTCCCTCTGCAGGGGGCCCTTAGCTGCTCCAGGCTCTTCTCTGCCTTCGGCCCACTCTTGGCCCTGTGCACCATCCCATGCGCCATTGTCCCACCCTTGGCCCTATGTACCATAGTCCCTGCCTCGTGCAGGGTGCTGAGGACCTGTGCCACCTGGTGCAGAGCCCAGGGTCTCGGCCCTCTCCCAGACCCTCCATACACTGATCCACGCACTGCTTTCCCTGCCTCGTACAGGGGTTGGAGACCTGAGCTGTCTGTGCACCGTTCCCACGCTCCATTCGCGGCAGGGCTGGGGATGCAGCTGCTGCCACTGCCCGTCTGGCAAGGCATCTTCTGGCACTTCTGGGGCAACTGCTCTGCCCCTCTGGTCAGCTCATCCAGCTCTTCTCAGCACTCTTCACTGTCCCTCATTGAAGCCGCCTGTGTGTCAGGCACACTGTCTTTTTATGCTCTTTGGAGGCTCTGTCCCCAGCTTGGAAATGGACCAGTCAGAGAGAGACAGGGTTAGTCCCCTCTCTGCTCCATTTTTTCACTTTGCCCCTGAGTAGGGGTGGGAAAAGCCTCTCCCCTTGCCTTTCCTGATCGGTGGGGAATGCCCCACCAATCACTCTGAATCCTTTTCAAGCCAGTGAGTCTGGCTGCTGCCAGCAAGCCTGCCACACAAACAAAAAAAAAAACAAACAAAAGATCCAAACAGACCCCAAATCAGTTTGAAATCGAGCAGACATTTTAAATGTAATTTTGTTTGGATAAAGCAATGTATAAAATGAGCATTTAAAATAAAGATTTCCCTACCAAAAATTGTTTTAGATGAAACCCAAGTTTTTCCATGGAAATATTTTTCAGCTGAAAAATGATGAGCTCCAAGCCATTGTCTCTCCCATGTTCCACTAGAAATCTCTGCAGATACATGGGGGATGGTTACTCACAACATCACAATGGCCCAATAGTATGACAGAGAGGGCTAATTTTCCCTGAAATATTGAGTCTTTGGATGGGATTTCCAAAGGAACTGAGTTGAGTGTGCATAAATCCCACCAGTGATGGCTGCCTAGCTCCCATGGACTTCTTTGATAACCCTGGTTTCTATATCTGTGGCATTATAATGCTAAGAGATGGAGCAGAATGAGTCAGGCTGTTGGATTTACCTGTAAGGACTTGAGCACAAGCTTTACTTAAATCGTAGGAAACTAGGTCTGGAAAGGACCTTGTGAGATCATCTAGTCCAGCCTTCTGCTCAGGGCATCCCTGGCTAGACCATCCTAGCCCAGTGTCTGTTCAACTGGCTCTTAAAAACTTACAAGGATGGAGATTTCACAATTTCTTTAGGATTGTCAATGCCTGCTGCAATGCTTGACCACCCTCTTAGACAGAAAGCGCTCCTTAATTTCCAACCTAAATTTCCCCTGCTGAAGCTTGAAGCCATTGTTCCTAGTCCTGTCCCCTACAGTCACAGAAAAATAGTCCCTCTTCATCCTCTCTGTAATCACTCTTCAGATATTTGAAGACTGTTATCAAACCCTCCCTCAGTCTTCTCTTCCCTGGCCTACATAACCTGAGTTGTTTCTGCCTCTCGTAAGTCCAGCTTTGCAATACCATGACCTAACCTGTTTAACCAGGATGCTCTCCTGCTCTAACTCAACGTGTGCGTTCATGTTGATTTGCTAAAGCAGCATTACTTGCCTTTGAGCTATATCTAACTTGGACTGTTATTGGGATCACTCCTCTAGGTTGATGGGATGGGGGCCTAACGTGTAGTGCATGTGGGAAAGTAAAACTCAGATGTCTCAGTGCATACACATGAACTGGATTCTGTATCTCCTTGGAGTTTCAGATGCTTGCTTTCAACAACTTTCATTAGCACAGTCTCTAATGGCTCCTGTTGCTTTTGATTGCTTCTTTGTCACTAGATAAGTCACTCATTGGGTCTGTGGGGGGAAATAAGTAATCCTGCTCAGTTTCAGGGTTAACCATCAGAGAAGCAATTACACCACAGACATTTCTCATACAATCTCTAACTGTAAAACAAATAAAACATCTAACGAGCCATCTCTCCAATCCTAAAATCATAACTTCCCCATGTCCTCAGTGCCTTGATTTGCATCTCTTTCCCCCTGAGGCCTAGCCCTGTAATACACTCCTTTGCTAATATATTTACAATTACTGCTTCTTTTTTTTCCCCTTCACTAGTTGCATGCTGTACATTGTTCCTCTGGAAAAGCCCTCCCCACTTAGGCAAAATGTCTCATTTCCCCAGGCATCTGGGGAGAAATTCAGATCAAACAGAACAATTAATTCAACAAACAATACAATTAAGCCATGATCCCAGTGCAGTTTCCAGCCTGAAACAAAATAAACAGCTCTAACAGCATGGATAAATAAGCTCACAGATGGAGGGATTTTGCGAGTGGCTAACTTTCCCTGCACAGACTTTCTGAAAACACAAGAAATGTGGACAGCATAAATCTCTGTCTGCAAATCTCTTTGGATGTAACTACGGAACCATATGTATGCTATAGCACAGCGGATTGGATTGAGACCTCGTACTGGGACTCTTGGACCACCAGCTCTAAGGAAGAATTATGCAAGGAAACTACATACAAAGAATTGATGATACAGTAGAATTGTCAGCCTTTCCCTGCAGTCCTGCCCTTGTCATCATCTTGACACAAAACACGTGGCAATGAAGCTGTGAAGGAGGAGAGAGATCTACTTCACACTCAGCTGGACACGCTTTTTACTTTCAAAGTTTATAGAAATTCCAACTTTTGGCTGAGTATCAAACATAGCTGATATTTTGGTTGAAAATGAAGTGTCTGCAAAATCTGCAGATAACATCAAATGAGCATAGAAAGTAGAGGATGGAAAGTTGAAAGTGAATGGATACTTCCCAGCCAAAAATTGGTTAATAGGTCTTCAAGCATTTCCAAAGGACAGGTACTGACTGTTATGGGTTCCTTCCTGTGTGGAGGAAGAGAAACATTTAGGTTTGGCTGTCCAAAGTGGAAGCTCTGCTGAATGCCCTCTGACATCTTCTGCAGAGATATTGCTGCAAGAGACTCCTTTTGGGAGGTATTTTCAACAGCAACTGGCATGACCTAACTATCAGTCACTTGGCAACTCCTACAGTCAGCAAGCAGTGGAAGAGCTACTGCCCTTGAAGTCTAATTGGCCCCGCATCCATGTGAGGGGACAAGCATCTTGAGGACTGTCCTGCAGGACATAGTTCTGAGAGTTACTGTAGTTAGTAAATATATCAGTGAAGATGGATAGTCTCAAGCTTGAAATAAATGGGCTTGGGGGAGTGGTAGTTTAATTATTTGTTCTCTGCCACCCCTCTTGCATGGCCCACTTCAGGCTCAAAGCCAGATAGGCTATGGGTGGAGAAGGAGCAGCTATCTTGTTCCCAGATAATCTTAAAAGTATGTGAAAGTCCCTCAGAATCATTCAAATGTGTCCACTTAATGTTTCAGGGTTGCTGGTGGTAGCTGTGTTGGTCTAAGGAAAGCTAATAGGCAGGCAAGGTTCTTTGGGTAGATGTGGGGGTTGGAGTAGATAACCTCTCGAGGTCCCTTCCAACTCTAACTTTGTGTGATTCTATGATATCTTTTATTAGACCAAGTAAATGTATTTAGTTAT